GAGGCGTTTGAACCTGGTCTTCACCAAGGGGCAAGCGTGAGAAGCAGTAACGAGCTCATAAGTGATAATGGGCCCAATGTCAGATCATCGCCCGGTGCTGACAGAGTTCAGACTGGGTACGGGCATTCGGAGGAAACCTGGCTTTTTCAGATTAAATACAGAGAACTTGAAACACAAGGGGGTCATAGAGTGGTGCGAAAGACATTGGAGGGACTGGGATGGCACGAAGGAGTGGTTTGACACAGAAGAAGAGTGGCTACAGACCGTGACAGGTTTTCGGATTGTCACCAGGATTCTGGACGTGATTTCAAGAATTCTAGCAAGGGGAGAAAGAAAGAAGAATGGGAGTGCAGGCAACGAGTGGAGGAGGCCGAGCAACATATCGGCAGTGATCCATTCACAAACCTATATTGGGAAAGGAGGAGGGACGAATGGCTAAGAAAGTGGGAGTTCATTCAAATAGATCAGCAAGAAACGTGGGCAAGAAGGGCGAAAGAAAAGGGAATGGCACAAGTGGATAGAATGGCAAAAGAGACTTTTCAGAGATTGTGCCTTCCACGGTCGCATGGCGTACTCCGTGCCCTGTCGCACCCCTTCAACGCTCAAGCTGACATTGCCACAGAAACAGACTTAATGGCAGAATATGCCACAGAGAACTACAGCGACATCCTCACCTCGAGGCGCCCGACGAATGAATCTTTGGAGGAACTGCAAGAGGAGTCGGACCTGTGGCAATTTTACCATTCAAAGGTGCTTCCACATCAACGGACATCACTAGACCGGCCACTCACTCTACAAGAACTATGGGAAGCTGCCAACTGCATGGCCAAAGACAAATCGTCGGGGGATGACAAACTTCCGATTGAGTTTTTCCTAGCTACTTGGACCCAAGTGGGACCTCTGCTGCTGAACCTGTACAATCGAGTACTCCTAGGCGGATCTCTTACAGAAGACATGTGTAGGGGGGTAATCACCCTCCTATACAAGAAGGGGGACAAACATAATGTAAGGAACTGGAGACACATTTCGCTCCTCAACGTGTCTTACAAGCTTCTAGCCAAGGCTCTGGCAAGGAGACTTGCTCCTCTGCTACCGGAGTTGGTAAAGGCAGACCAAGGAGCCGTTGTGAAAGGCCGCTCGATTGCAGAGAACATCCTTATGGCTACGGGAGCTCTGGAGATCATCAGCAAGGAGGAACGTCAGGTGGTGGTGGCAATGCTTGACTTAGAAAAAGCTTACGATCGGGTAAACTGGTCCTTCGTCTTAGCAACACTAGAACACTTGGGCTTTGGCATCCCCTTTTTGAAGATGGGTTGCTGTGATGTATAAAAGTTCAACTGCAACAGTGCTGGTAAACGGTAAGAGATCGCCAATCTTCAACCTGTCCCGCTCCCTACGTCAGGGTTGCCCACTCGCCTCCCTGTTGTTCGTAGTCCAGATCGAGGTGGTACTGAACGCTCTTCGGGCTGCCGCACCGGCGAAAGGACTGCAGCTGAGGGAAGACTCAACAATATTTACTGGGGCTATCGCATACAACCTCTTGCTGATAACAGAAGCAATTGAGGAATCCATGGGCACATCCAAGAAGATTTTGAACCTGTATGTGGCGCTGTCCAAAGCAAGAATCAATTGGGACAAATCGGCTTATTTTCTGTCGAGCCGCTACAGCATGCAAGATGACTGGACAATGAAACGCATAAGGGAGGAAGAATCAGAGCGATACCCCGGAGTGCAAATCTCCTTATCTAACAGTCAAAAGACGCAGGACGCGATCCTGGTTGCCCGGGTCGAGGCAAGAGTCAAGAGGTGCAGGGCAGCTATGGGTCTTTCTCTACTAAGGAGGGTCAGCGTTATATCTGCCTCCATTTTTTCCCTGATTTGGCATATAGCGGCGGTCATTTTGATCTCCCGCTAGGCCCTCATGACGATTAAAGCCTTGGCGGCTCGATACCTATGGAAACCAGGGGGTGAGGAGGAAGGTGGCTTTATCTCCAAGGTGGCGTGGAAGAAGGTCACCCAGACAAAGGCAGAGGGAGGTTTAGGTGTGCTGGACCCAGAGAGACAAAACATCTCCCTGCTGGGGAAGTGGATCCATAAAATTTGCACCCAGTCAGACGATCGAGGTTGGTTAGCCCTGGCGCAATACATTATTCAGAAGGAGTTGCACCAGTCACGAAAGGAGGACGTCTGGGTGTGTCTGCAAATGTCGTCCTACCTCAACAGAAGGCTGAAATCCAGAATTGGGTTTGCCTGGTGGATAGCATGGCGTAGGCTGAGACCTGAAGGGTATCCTAACCCTCAAATGAAGGAGGAAGTGCTCATGCAACCACTCTTCGACAATGCTGCAGTCATACGACCAGATGGATCGAAGTTTGCTGCCTCCAATCAAGTTGGGAACTTTGGGAGAAAATGGGTGGAAAAGGGGGTCTCCCGAATACAGGACATCTGGCAGCAGGAGGAGGGAAGATGGTATACGAAAACAGAATTGAGGATGAAGTTAGGAAGGCTACAGGGGGTAGGAGAGAAACTCAGTATTCTTATTGAAGCAATTCCTCAGGACTGGCTAGTGCTGTTACATAATACTGCGAAAATTTTGAGAGAAGGAGAGTGGTATAGAGAGAGCCAGGCAACCTTTGCAGATTCTTTAACAGTATACAAAGTGGAGGAAAAAGGAGACGGTCCGATTTGGATGGCGTCGAGATGGATCCTGGACCAGCATCAAGGTGGTGAGGGACGCTTAGTGAGAATGGGGGAACTGACTTTACATACGGACTAACAACTCGAACTGGTTCGTGTTTATCAGACGTCTGGCGGTCAGAGGAACCCTAGTTTCTCAGTCCTCTTGAGGGACGCCCCTATACGCAAATTAAGACTGGATCCCAAGAACTGCACCTGGAGGTTAAATCATCAGCTGGTTTCTCTAGCTCAATACTCCACGAGTCGAGGAAATGAGATACAGGCAGACCCGATAGATTGGACAATAGAGACTAGGGAAAGAATGACCCACACACTGGGTCTGTCAGCCCCGCCAACACGCATAGAGATAAGAGCGGTGTGGGGCCAAATTCCCCTGCTCCCAAGTCTGAAGATGGCAGGTCTGCTCTGGCTACTTTCGCACTCGGCCATTCCTACGGCTAAGTGGCTCGCTGACAGAGGTATGGAGATCTCTCGAAACTGTCGCCGGTGTGGAAACAGGACTGAAGAATCCCTGAGACACCTGGTGTGGGATTGTCCGGCGTCCAGGAGGATAAGGAGGTGGTGGGCAGATCACTGGCAACATATAGGCTCGACTTTGGTTTGGGACGAGAAGTGGGTGATCACAGGCTTCCTTCCGGCGTTATTCTTCAAGCAGAAAGGGTGGGGATATATGGCCCAGGCAATCAGGTCCGCCATCCTGTGGGTTATTTGGGAAGACAGAAACGCCATCCTGTTCAATGAAGAGTGGTCAGCGGATGAAACGATAAAAAAAAAGTGCAAATTCATCATCCGGACCATGATTGTGGCGGATTGGCATCGAAAAGCAGATCAGGGGAGGTCTCCAAGGGGCCGTGAGTGGTTCCTCTTCACCTGGGCGAGGAGCTGTAGGTTGGCAGCAGTGACCCTAGAAGGGAAGCTAGTTCTGTCTCCCTGGCTGCTCAAATAATGCGGTAGGGCTCAGTCGGTAACAGTAGGAGGTGTACATAGGCAATAGTTTGTGACGAAGAAGACGGAAAGTGTTTCGTTCGGGTGGGTTTAGATTGGGTTTTGGGTAGGATTAACCTGGGGCACTCGGTTCCTGTCGGTGGCCACAGTAGACCACATTGGCGGGGAAGGATCCACTGAGGGCCCATGGGGTTGGAAAGGAGCAAGTTTGTTCCTCTCGGCCAGGGTAGGCCGAGGTACGGATCGTCGTAGGTCCACGCTATAGGTAGGGGGTGCAGTAAGATCTTAGAATATTGTTGGGAATCGGAAGGCTAGTTTTTGGGTGTTAATCAATAGGGTAAGGGGTCATCTTTTGATCCGGCTCATCAGAGGTAGGTAATGAGGAATAGTTGAAGAATAAGTGAGGGTTGGTTAAGCTCAGCCGGGATAACTCCGGGTTGAATTGTGAGGTCCCCGGGGCAAGGTCCCACTTGCGCAAATTAGGAGATTTGGGCCGTTGATCTTTGCTATCTACGGTCAGTATCTCTTAATTCGTGCAAGTGGGACCTAGCCCCTGGCCTCATCTCTTGTGGATTTGAAATATATCAATGTGTAAAAAAAAAATAAAAAATAAAAAAAATCGCGTCGCCCATCCCAGGCCAAGTCAGCAGCGAAGCTGGAGTCCAGCTAAGCAGGGCCGACTGCAGGGTGCGCCGAGGTAACGATGGCCAAGGCATACTGGCGGTACCATTTTCCTGAACGTATCGGACTGTATTGACAGCTAAGTGCAGTCGGAAATTCCGTGCCGTTAGCTGTCAGCGCGGCTCGCTGGTTTCCACGTCGTCGCGAAATACGGCGGGCGGCAAGATTTTGCTGGGCGTACCGGACCGCAAAGACGGCCAAATTCAGCCGAAAATGCCGGCGGGCGTCATTGGCGGCAAGATTTTGCTGGGCGTACCGGACCGCAAAGACGGCCAAATTCGGCCGAAAATGCCGTCGCACTAGCCCCCTTAGTGGTTGACACGTCGTCCTGAAATACGGCGGCCGTCACTGCAATCAATAAGGGAAGTGAAGAAGGGAAATGCCTGTAAGCGGCACAGAGCTGCGTGCTGTGTGGTTCTTCCTTGTTGATGAATCGCTTCGCTTGGGGTATGTGGCGGCGACTTGGGGCATCGCCACACCACACTCGAAATGTGAAAAAGACAAAAATGTGGAGGGTGCATCTGGCCATGATCTAGCTGAAAGTTCATTCTCATTTTGCACATTTCGAGAGTGGTGTGGCGGCGACTTGCTCGCGGTAATTAGTCTGCGATCAGATTTTGAATCGATTGGGGATTCGATCCTAGGATTCGTATCGAGTAGAGCGGGAATACTCGGAGTGCCACGTGTCATCGAATATATAGGTCCGTCCGGCGAAGGTGCGGCGCGCTTCGGAGTGCCACGTGTCATCACGAGAGTCCAGAGGGAGGATGTTGCGACTCGTGGGCGCCGTCCGCCGGGCGCAGCAGAGCGGGAATTGTGGCAGTAATGTCGTCACGCGCGTTGTCGGCGGCCACGTCAGAAAGCATGCCCTCAGTGGAGCGACACGTGGCAGTAGAATGGAAGGATGGAGAGTTTGCGAGGGGCCAGATTCTGTCGCGACCTCCTGCTTGGCTCAGCAGGGATCGGGATCCGTCCGATCGTACGGTACGAGGCTGTGGCATGTGGTCTGCAGGTCAGCTGGAGAGGTTTCTCGTCCTGCCGACAAGGTTGGTATTCCCTCTCTCTCTCTCTCTCTCTCTCCCCCTTTCTCTCTCTCTCTCTGTGTCTGTTCCCGTTTCTCTCTCTCTCTGTGTCTCTCCCCCTTCTCTCTCTCGATCTCCTCCTTTTCTCTAGCTTTTGTTTTCGGCTTGGCGTCCTTTGTTGAATTTATATTTATTTTGTCCTTGTGCATCCTATGCGAATGGATTTAGTGAGCTATTTATCGAGGTAAGATAAGGTAACGTTCTTCGTGGATGGATTGATTGACTGATTCATCCGTCTATCCCCCTTCACCCCTTCGCAAAATGTAATCCGCTCAGGCGCAAATTACGCAATCCTTTCATTCTCACCTTTTCTAAATTGTGCAATATCTGATCGCCTATCATTCTCCATCAATCAACGAGCGTATATCTATATATTGTCACACTGTATCTATCTATCTATCTATCTATCTATCTATCTATCTATCTATCTATCTATCTATCTATACTCACGCACACAGGCTCAGTGCGAAGATCGGGCTGCGATCGGACATGTACAAAGATGCAACTATTTATTATATTATTATTATTATTATTGTTGTTGTTGTTTAAGGGCGATATGTACAAATTTTCCTTTTGGCTGTGTGCAAGTGGGTGGGGGCAGCCGCCGCCCAACCTACATCCACGTGGGCGGCCTTGTTCACAAGAGGTTCTGAACAGCGGGAGTTGTAAGAAAGAAGATTCAAAAAAACGAAAATTGTTTTCTTGTTTTCTCTGTTTTTTTTCGCTCTTGCGCTCTTATATCCTTGCGTGTGTGTGTGTTGTGTGTTTCTGTTTGACGATATGCATATGTAATATATATTGTGTATCAACGAGCGTATATACAGTAAATTTTGCGTGAAATTTAGCAGAGTTGAAAATACAGTAATGATGGCACTCAGAACGGTAGGGGAAGAATGACTAGAACGAAAGCTAATACTGCAGTAGTAGTGCTGGCATTGTTCGGTAACTCGGTAACTCGGGAAGATATAAAATCGTGTTTTTTTTTTAATTTTATTTTTTCTCAATTATACCGCGGCAGAATGTTTTAAGGGGCAAAAGAAAGAAAAAACAGAAAATGAAAAAAGAAAAGGAGGGCAGGGGACGAATGATCACTGTGTTTTCAGTGAAGGTGACTTCCGCAGGGGATGAATGATGATACAGGCATTAAAAAAATAATGCCCGTGCATGCGCTCTAAGGAGTAGTCTGTCGTCGGCATAAAATAGTTAATTAATAATCAGAATATTTCAAGAAACCTAGACAATTGAGCGCGCGCTGATTCCATTCCGTTTTGACAAACGCGTCCTTCGTGAAGTAGAAAGGAAAATTTTGCTGAACAGCCTGACCGGCAATTACCCGTCGTTTAATAACAGCAAAAAAAGAGAGAAAATACTCGTCATCAAGAACCAATAAGGAACTAATCTGTTTTTTTCTTTAAAAAAAAACACTTAAAAAAAAAACAGAAGCACGAAATCCAGCAAGAGAAAATATTTCGTTTCATTTAACAAGGAAATGGGGTAAAAATGCAATTTTGATTTTTTTTTTTTTTTTGGTTCTATTTCCTCCCACCCTTCCCCCCCCTCTCCCCCCYCCACTTCCTCCTTTTCTGTTAAAGGGCGACGGCCTTAAGATATCATCTTTCGAGCTGACCGGCCCCGGGTAATTCAGAATTACTAGTAATTGGTTCGGTTCATCTGATTGCATCCGGATTTGAACTCGGGTCTGTATTTCAACAGTTCATTGAGTGCGCCAACCGAGCTAGTCCCGCTCTTTTTTCTTTTTTTCCGTTCTTTTTTCATGCCTGTTTTCTTTTTTTCCGTTCTTTTTTCATGCCTGTTTTTTTTTCTGTTCCGTTCTTTTTAACCACCAGTGCTTCCTAAAGTTATGCCCGTTAACAAGCCACAAATTTGTTTAGGAAACGTAACGTACGGGCCACTATAGGAGCGCCCAAATTCATCCAAGTAGAAACGTTTCTACTCTAATTTTTTCTGCGGCTGATAGCTGGGCCAAGTACTGGTGCTGCTTGTGGTTTAACAGGATCGTTAGGGGCTGGTGTAGGTCAAGAAGAGGTCAGGAGGAGTGGATTGCGGGCTGCCTGGCTGGGGGGGTTAAGGATGAGGAGGGTATGAGGAGGAGGAGTGGATTGTGGGCCGCCTGGCTGGGGGTTAAGAATTCTGGGAATCGATACGAGAGTAGTCGGATGTTGGGGGTTAAGGATGAGGAGGGGGTTAAGGATGAGGAGGGTATGAGGAGGAGAATGAGGGGGAGAAGAAGGAGAATGGAGGGGGAGGGTGAGGAGGAGGAGGAGGGGAATGGAGGAGGAGGAGAGAGATTTGAGAGAGATGAGATGCGGTTTTTTGTTTTTCCGTCTTTTCTTTTCGTAGTGTGTATTTTTTTAATGGTCGGAGAGTGACACGCATTTATTCCAACGGCATCGAGGCCCCAGGACTCAAACAGCCGGGGTCTAGACAAACATTCTACCGGTTGTCCGCCAGATCTACCGGTAGGCCAACGTATTGTGTGCATTGTCTCCAACGACCGGTAGTCCAACAGATTGTGTGCATCAGATCTCCAACGACCGGGATCGCGATAAGTTGTTGATTTATTTATTTATCATTCTTATCCAGAATTTAACTCGGCTTTACACTGCTCAACAAGATTTGAAGGCTCTTTGAAGGCTCGGCGGACGAGGAGATGACACACACAGCTACGCTTGGCGGTCGAGGAGAGAGAGCAAATCTTTGTTGAACAGTATAAAGCAGAGGGTGGAGGTGGAGATGCCACACACAGCCAGTCGTTGATGCTGAACCATAGCCGGGGTTAAGGTGGATTATCACTTCCAGTGTAATCAGTTAGGTAGGGGATTCTACAGATTGTTTTTGAGGGTTCAGCCTCCTCCTTATCAGTAGATAGATAGGTGAAACTCCGACGAAACAGTTTGTCACAGCCCCTCGTTTGTTGTCCTCTTCTCCCTTCTCCCTGTCTGCCTACGGTTTACCGTTGGCAGCTCTGTTTGACGATATATATGAATTGTTTTCTTTCGTTTTTCGCTTTGGCGCTCTGATATCATGTGACAATATATATGTATATACATATATTACAATATATCGTCACAAACAGAACTGCCCGGTAAAACCGTAGGCAGAGAGAGAGAAGAGGACAACAAACGAGGGGCTGTGACAAACTGTTTCGCCGGAGTTTCACCGACTCATCAGGAGGCTGAACCCTCAACAGTCTGCAGAATCCCCTCACTGATTACACTGTAAATGATAATCTACCTTAACCAAAATCGAAGTAGACTATCACTCACCCACACCAGATGGAAAACTTTACAGACTGTATACATATATTATGTTTATTTATTATGTTTATTTATTATGTTTATTAATTATGCAAACTGTAGGGACATCTGGAAAATCAACGAGAGTCTTTCTTTCTTGAAGCATATTGCTCCTTCGTGAGCAGCGGTGTGGGCGGGCTGAATTGAATGCCGTCGATTTTTTTTTATTTTTTTTTTGGTCTATTTTTCCTCCTTGGTGCACGAAAAAGTTCAGATCCAATTAAAAAATAAAATAAAATAAATTCAGATTCAAAAAGAGAGACGAGTGTCTATGAGGTTAATCAGCTGAAGAAATGTGTGATTGTTTTCAATGATTTTTATAATTAATTTGTTATAATTGTAATGAATAATGATTATTATCATATTATTGTGCCGAATATTTTGTGATTATAAATTCCGTCTGCTTAGGAGGTTGAGGAGGTGGGCGACGCAAATTTGAATTTTGATTTTTTTTTTTGGTCTTGTGCTCCTGATGGCGGGATCTCAAGTTCAGTCCTTTTTTTTTTTTTTTTTTTTTTTTTTTTCGGTTCCTCCCGCTGTCCTACGCAGTTTTTTGTGCTTTTTTTTTTCCCCCGAAGAAAAAGAAACATTATGCATATGCCATCAACAGAGGGTGTTGAGAATTCCGCCAGGCGAGAGAATGCGCGATGGCAATCTCGACGTAATCCCGACCCTCCAACGAACTCCCGCTGCGTCGC